CTTCCCGCATATTCTCCGGAATGTACCCCCATTATCCCCCCGGCCATTTTACTATTTAATTTTTATTATTATTCTTTATTAATATATTTTTTTTTGTTTATTGTACAATGTAGCCCCACTAGCACTCTCCTTTTCCGCGTTTGGAATCACGCTCCTTTTCATTGACTGTCTGAAAATGAAATTTATGGGCCACTTTGTTTTTTTCTTTAAATTACTGGAGTTCATTAATTTGAACTGCCATGGGTTTGGAAACTCGTAGATAGTTTCAAAGTTAAAAGTTTTTGTATGTCAAATGTAACCCAAATTGATTTTTTTTTTTTTTTAATGGAAACTAAAGTGGAATTTGTTTAGGTTAATAGAGTCAAAAGACTTTTAGGTTTTGAAAGTCTATTTGTAGGTTGGTCTGAGGGTATTGACGATGGTTTAGCTCTTTTGTGGAAGGAAAAACTCACGTGCAGTTTAATTGGATTTTATAAAAATTTTATTGATGTTAAGGTTAATGTTTTATGAGTTCCAAATTTCCATTTCATAGGTTTCTATGGGCTTCCTGAATATCATTATCGATGTATATCTTAGGAGCTTCTTCTCTCTTTAAGAAATAGGTCGAATTTATATTGGTTTGTGCCATGTGACTTTAATGATATCCTTTCTTTTGAAGATGAAACGGGGCGAATTTAGCAACCAGCTTGGTTAATCAATGGATTTAGCTGAACAGTAGAGGATTGTGGCTTACACAAACTGGGTTATGAAGAAAACTGATTTACATGGGAACAGGGTCGAGATTCTCCAGATTAGGTGTGTGAAATGTTGGATAGGACTCTTGTGAATGACTCTTGGTACTCAAATTTTCAGATTGCAACGGTTTATAACATAGAAGTTGTGTACAGTGATCACCTAGCTCTATTTATTTCAGTTGGTATCACAGTAATTCACTAAGTGCCACAGTCTTTTTGTTTTGATAACTCATGGCTACAGAAATCAAATTTATGTTGTTGGGAAATATAATTCATTAATAATAAAATCAAGTATTACAAATACTCAATTAGACCAGACATAAAACTTATTATCATAATTAATAGAAAGTTCGTTGATTCTTCAACAACAAAAGAATCATTTATATTGTTTTGAATAATAAAACTAAAATTAGAAGAAACAATATAGGATTTTTTTGCTTAAAGATAACCTTGACCGATATAAATCTTCATAGAAGCAACTGATTCTTTAATTGATTTTGACGACAAAATAACTTCTTTGGATCTTCTATGTTTGAATTGCTTTTTCAAAAACTTGTTGAGTATGATGTGCACGGGTGAGTTCAAGTAACTATGCGCTAATAGCATTAATAAAGGAACAAGTCACATTACCAGGCTCTACTGATCGAAGATACACATTAGTAAAACAAGATTTAAATTCTCCGATCAAATAAAATCAAATATCATACCTTTTAATAACAAATCTTCACAAAGAAGGAACTAGACCCTCACAGAAGAAGGGACAAAAGAACTTCAAATATGGAGACAAAGCAACAATAATAAAAAAATAAAGAAAAAACAAATCTATTAAAAGGAAATATATCTGAATTTATTAAAAACGAATAAAAGATTAGGAGCGAGAAGAAAAAAGAAAAATAGGGGCTACCGATTAGTACTGGCAACCTCGAACAAAAGCTTGGGTTAGATAAATCAGAGAGAAAAGAAAAAGAGAAAAACCCTATTGTTAATTTTAAATTTTATTTGTAAATAATTAGCAAATCAAATTTCTATTGTTAAATTTTTTTATATGAATGTTTAAGATATAATTATAAATATTATATTTCTAATTATTGTTTTCTTATATTATTGAAATTATTAATTATTGAACAATATAATCATTATCTGAGATACCATAACGCCTATTGTTAATTTTAAATCTTATTGTAAAATAGATTAGCCAAATCAAATTCTATGTTAAAAAATTTTTTTATATGAATGTTGAAATATATAATAAATATTATATTCTAATTATTGCTTTTATATTATATGAAATTATTAATTATTGAACAATATAATTCATTTATCTGAAGATACCATAATATTTATATATATATATATATATATATATATAGGGTAGTTAGTATAGTATTATGTATAGTGGTATGTATGTAGTATATGGGTCAGGGGTTAGATAAATAGTATTTGTTAGAGAATCAACTAAGAAATTACTTGGATTTTTTGAATATTAGTAAGGTGTAATGAATTGCTGTATATTATGATTATATATAAGGGTATATATTTAGTAAATAGTATTTGTTAAGAATCAAACTAAAATTCTTGTTTTTTAATATTAGTAGTTAATGGATTTCTTAATTATATTATAATAAGTATATTATGTTTTTTCATGAGTAATTTTATTATGGATAATTTTCGTATATTGACCACTTAATTTGGCAATATTACAACTTACATATGGATATTTTAGTTAGGGTTTTTCTTTCTACCGTTAGTTATAAATACATGTTCAAACTAATAAAATATATGAGGAAAGATTTTTTATTATAAATTATATAAAATGAAAATAATATTGTAAACTAGTGAAAAACCATTATTGATAAATTATGGAATTTTGAATTTAAAATATCTCACCTCCATATCTTTACAAAAAGTAAAAAAGAAAATTTTTTGAATTATAATCAAGCTATAGTTGAAATCTACAGCTAACATTAAGATTAATATTTTACAATATCCATTAAAAAAATTTTCTAGTGAAATATTAAATGTTATAGATTGCAAAATATTACTAAAAATCATCAATCAATTACTAGAAATTAGGCATGGCCGGTTCAGTGAACCGCCGGTTCGAGATGTTTAAAATTTTGAACCGGAACCGACCCTTGAACCTCCGGTTCCGGACCGACCCTTTGAACCATCCAGGTTCCGGGTCAGTGGTTCCGGCATTACGCAAAAATTTTTAAAAAATTATAAAAATTTTGATTCCGAATTCATAAATAAATAATAATTTTTAAAATGTTTAAATTTTATTAACTAAATAAAATTATTATTTTAAATTTTAAAACCAAAAACTATTATATTAACTAACTTTAGAAAACGTATTATTACAATTAAATTACAAAAATTTTACCTAGTTCACTAATATAGAAAAACTATAAATGGAATAATAAAACTTAATGTTTGAAATGAATGTGTCTCGTTAAAACGGAACGTTAAAAATTATTATTTTCATAAATACTAAGAAAAAATATTAAAAAAAATCAAATAAGCTTCAAAATTTATTTGAATGGAAAAAAATTGAGATTTCAGATAGAGAAAGAATTCTGGATTGGAAATGTAAGAAATAAAAAATAAAATAAAGATAATTTCAATATTCAATATTAAGAGAAAATAAAGTAATACAAAAATAAGTGAAATATGGAAATTTGAGAGAAATTTTGATGAGAATAAGAGAAGAAAGAGTTGTATGATATAATGTTTGTTGTGAAATAAAAAATCATAAACTTCATCATCTATTTGTATACTATGTTTTCATTATTAGTTTTCCCAAATTGTCCCCTTTATAGTTATTAACAGAAAAATAACAAAACCCTATATTTTTGGGAATAATAGTAAATACAGTAAATAAATAAATAAAATGATTAAAAATTGAAATAAATTTAATTTACCAAAAAATTAAATAAAAAAACATATTCATATTCAAAAAACTTATTCGTTTACGCCTTTTTTTTTATATTACTTGAAAGTTATTTTTTTTTATATAAATCAACTATTCATGTGCCATTTTTTCTGAGTATAATATTAAGTAAAAAAATGTGTTCATTTTTTTTTTCACCACTTTTCTATAACTTATTACTCTATTGTACTTTCTTCTCACCATAAATTCAAATCAACTACAATTTTTTTTATAAAAAAAAATTTTTAAAGCCTACAATTTTTTTTGCTGCATTCCGTTCGAACCGACCGAAATCCGCCTGTGTTCCGGGCCGCGTTCAGCCGCTTCATATTTTTAAGATTATATGAACCTTAACTCGGGCGCTTTGAACTAAATTAAGTAAAAAAATGTGTATTTTTTTTCACCACTTTCTATAACTTATGTACTATTGTACTTCTCTTCACCATAAATCAAATCAACTACAATTTTTTTATAAAAATTTTAAGCTACAATTTTTTTGTGCATCCGGTTCGAACCGGACCGAAACCGCCTGTTCCGGGCCGGTTCAGGTTCATATTTTAAGATTTATATGAACCTTAACCGGCGCTTGAACCGCCAGTTTCGGTTCAAAATTACGAACCGCCGATTCTCATTTGTCTACAGTACGATTCGATTTCGGTTCGGTTTCGATTAGAACCGAACCGGTGGCCATACCTACTAGAAATATTGTTTGCACTTACGGACCGACTAACAATTTGATTATATCAAGTATTAAAATCTACCAAATACACGACAAAGAAATTTTATACTAATGGAAAAAATTATTATAAAATAAAATTTAATAGAAAAAATTTACCTAAATTGGGCCTATGACCAAATTAATAAAATTAAAATTTTTAAAAATATTTGAATTTTTTAATATATGGTCAAAATTATTCTCTTTAGATAAAAATAATTTATTTTATTATTTGGATGGTAAGTGAGGTCACCCGGTCTACATAAATTTTTACGTGATAGTGTGTGTTTTTAAAAGAAGGGGACAGTCACAGTTTGGTCACGACACGCATAAAATACGCGTGTGATTGGTTTCCCACTCCAGCATAAAGCTACGGTTGTAGTAGTAAGTAGTGGCCTTTTCTTGTGTCCTTCTTTTTAATTTCAAATTGTAATTTAATCTTTTTTAAATATATTTTTAATGGACTTTTCGTTTTAAATGTTACTATTACTTCAAGTTTTCCACTCAAACTCACCTTTTCATTCTATTTGTTTTTTTAAATAAACAAATAAATAACTTAAAATTTTCTAATTTATTTATTTATTTTTTAAAAAATTCAAATACCCAGTCTCTCTCTTTCCTTATTGCTTTGCGGTCTCCACCTTCCAAATGTCCCTATAAATACATACGGCCATCACCACCACAATAACCACCAGCGCCACCGGTTATCTTGTTTTTGTCAATAAAGAGCCCAACTCCTTTTCCTTTCCTTTTTAACTGTCAAAAAGTTTAGAAAGCATCACTACCTAACAGAACATCCCTCGTGATTCACAGCCACTGTCCCTTTAAAATTTTTCTCATGAAAGTAGACCACATAACCGCCGCCGCCGCCGCCGCCAATTCTGAAGGTGAGATGTGCAAGACCTTAGAAGTCGCGGCTGTTGACTGTCGCGGTCTCTCGCTTTCACCACCAGCAGTCTTATCATCTCCGGTCGTCACCGGAGATGAATTCGCCTTTATTCCACCATTAAACTTTTCCATGGTTGATAATGGCATATTCAGGTCAGGCTTTCCTGACTCTGCTAACTTTTCCTTTCTTCAAACGGTTGGTCTCCGCTCCATCATGTAAGGCATTTTTGTTTTCTGCCTTAAACTCTCTTTAGATTTTTATATATGCATATATATAGATTGATGAATTCTAGGTTTTTTGGTTATGATGATGATGTAGATGCCTATGTCCTGAGCCTTATCCAGAGCCAAACACTGAATTTCTTAAGGTCAATGGGATTAGGCTTTTTCAGTTCGGGATCGAAGGTTATAAGGTGAGTTATTAGAAATAACCTCTCTTCTCACTAGATTGTTGTTTTGAGGTAGCTTGCTGCTTTGTTTGAATCTGTAGTGAGCCCATTTCAGTTGTTTAGTAATAAAATATTGAAAGAAAATATTGTTAATTATGGAACTTTAGCTCTGGTTAGCTTTTAGCTTTATTCAAGAATGGCCATTTGATTTTCTGTGGGGGCATGTAAATTGATGGATAAAGGGTTAGATGATGTCATGCGCATTATTTTTAGTGTTGTTTTTTTAATCCTCAATAGTTTGATTATAATAATTGTCATAAATGTTCAATTGTCATCCATGCTCTTCGTTCAAGAAGAGTTGGCTTTTGCTTCTTGGTCTTTAGTAGTTTTATAAATTATACATATCTTTTGTTTTTGTCGGGTTTTCTGCTAATGCTTGTATTAATCTTTTGTGGGCTTCATCTTAGTCTTTGTCTATCTATGGTTTTCCATTTTTTTCCTTTTCCTTTCTCTTATTTGATACATTTATATGCGGTAATCGTATACCATATTCAACATTTGGAACTAGTGAACAAAAGAAAAAGGAAGAAGAAATAGAAAACATCGCAGATAGAATCCTTTTGGAACGGCTGACATGTGAATTCGTTTTTGTTTTTTCTCAATGATTATCACATGAGGTTGTTCACTTGATTTTGTCATGGCTTTCATTTTTTAATTTAACGTGCAATGGAAATATCTAAATGCGGTGGATACCTGTTGAGAAATTATATTGGATGAGATCATTGACAGTTCTTATTTTGCTTTGTAAAATATAATTTTTGTACTTTAGTGTTCCTTCTACTAGCACTTGTAGTTTACTATCCATTTATAAATCTTGCATGTCCTTTTGTTTTCTAACACTAGTTCTGTGTTTTTTTGACTCTAGTTGAGTTGTAATCAACTTGCCAAAAATTGTTGTTTTAATTTTTTTTCTTTCTTTTACCTTTTATTTCCCTTTCTTGCATGGGATAGCATTTCACTTGCAAAAATTAATTTTGAAACACATTGACAAGTACTTACTCTTGGCTTCTTGCAATTCAAATGTCCTAACAATGGCCCCCCTTCTCATCTAGTTTTAGGGGATTATTAGTATTATCATTATTATTATTATTATTATTATTGAGAGTTGAAACTTAAAACTTACTTGTTGAAAACCTTCCCTTTATATATCAATTGGCTAGGTACTATTTGATTAACTAAGAATCTTGATACCTAAGATTGAGATGAAAATGAGAAAGATCAGCGCTGAAATTCAGAATCAAGAAGTGCACATGTTGTCTTAATGCAAAATCCAAAAACATCACAATTGTTCTGGAGTGTAATACCCATAGTAATTAAAGGCGCAAGGGGCTGCTGGAGCCTAGGCACTAGCCTCCAGGCGAAGGCGCGCCCCTGAGTGAAGTGAGGCGCAGAAAAAGAATAAAAGAATAAAATACATAAATCTGACAAACATGGAAAGAAACACACATAAATCAGAAAAAAATGGCAACATGACAAGTTATATTTTGAGATATTAAAGTTAAGACAAAAAAGAGTATAATCAAAAAAATGAAAAAAAGAAAAGAAATAGGAAGGAAATATAGGAAGAAAAGTTGAAAGAGTTATATCTGGATGGAATGGGGCTAAAGACTAGATTGCAAGAGGTGAGTGCTAGATGAAGGAGTGGAGCTTGGAGTACAAAGCACATCACCAGTTTTTGTGTTGCATTTTATTTCAAAAAAGAGTATAACAAAAAAATGAAAAAAAAAAGGGGAAAAAAAAAAAAAGAAAAAATTAGGGGGGGGAAAGGGGGGAAAAATTTTTTTTCTTAATTTTTAGGGAAGAAAAGCTTGAAAGAGTTATATCCTTGGTAAAAGAGTTATATCTGGATGGAATGGAGGCTTAAAGACTAGATTGCAAGCAAGGAGGTAGAGGTTGGTGCTAGATGAAGGAGTGGAGCTTGGAGTACAAAGCACATCACCGCAGTTTTTGTGCTTGCATTTTATTTCTTATATTTATTACCAGTTTTTGTGTTGCATTTTATTTCTTTTATATTTATTTATTTATTTTGTGTAAGCTGATGTTGGCTAGATAGCTTTATATTGAAAAAAAAACCCTAGGTGACTTGTTTTGGAAAACAAAAAATAGAAAGGCGCGCCTTTCTCGAGCCTTAGGCGCAAAAAAGGCACAAAAAGGCGCACGCCTCTACCCAAAGGCGATAGCCTGAGTGAAGTTGCCACCTTAGGATAGTCGAGGCGCAAGCCCTTGAGCCTTTAATAACTATGGTAATAGCCTGTTTTGTGCAAATTTACCAGTTCCTTTCAGTCATCTATTGAACTTGTTTAATTCTTGACTAGATCTATCAAGTGTTTGGTATATAATATAATTTGTATCTGCCTGAAATCTATGCATCAAGAAATAGTCATCCATTAGTTTCTGTTTTTTTATCCAGTATCTGGTAAAGAGTCTGAGATTTCTATTAGTTAACAGCAATTATGCCATCTAACTTCTGTAAGGTCATATTATATACCTGAGGCACAGTCTTCTACTTTCTAGGTTCAACAATTAAATGATCTACAATTTTTTTTTTTTTTTTTTTTTTTTTTTTTTTTTTTTTTTTTTTTTTGAATGTTTGCTTGGATTAGTTTCTATAGTGAGAAGAGCTATATATATTGAATTGAACTAATAGTTTTTATTTTTCCACAATTCTAGTGTAGTCAAGTTGTTAAATGTAACCACTCTTATATCAACATAACTGTGTATTCCAGTTATACCTTTGAGTTGATTTAGCATGACTTCATGCGGCTAATTTGAAATATATTGTTTATTTGTGGAGTCCTTGAGTTTGAAATGGGAAGTATAGGCTTCATTTCCTCATCTACCATGTCATGCAGGGACCTATATGTTTAAAACGGACTATGTTCAAGAAAGCAAATGTTATAATGTTTCCCGCATCTTGTTTCAATTAACCAGTAATGCTGTATGTAATAAGAATCTCAAGCATCTTAAATTAGGAATAGAATATGCATATTTAGGATAATAGTTCTTGTAGGTTATTAGCAAGCACAACAAATCATATTTCAATCTGAATCAGGATTATCTTATATAATTTAGTTTAGTTGCCTCATTTCGAGCCTTTCATTCCATTTGCTAACCATGCATGATATTTTAGCTTAGATTGGCTATTTATGAAACTTGTTTGTTCATGCAATGTTATCATCTGCTTTGACATCAAAAATGATTTTAGTGATGATTTTTCTTTTAATATGACTCTTCCAATATGATTATCTGTCATGCTTGGTAATGTTGCATCCATTTTTAATTTGTTTTTCTTACTTTCAGTTTGTGTTCATGGTTAGGTTAAAATTCAAGTGTTAACATGAATTTTGCTGGGTTGTATATCATGTGTGTCAAGGACATCCATCATTGCAGAAAGATTTTGTCCAATATTTTGCATGAAATAATTGCTGCTTAATCTTTGAGTTGCAATCTCCACTGCCAGTTGAACTGTCAGCGAGATAGTATACATACGTGGAACTTATAGCTCTAGCAAACATGAAATTGAAATGCCATTAGTGGCTTTCTACTTTTTGGTTTCTTTGATGGCAAAGATGCTATACTCTGTATCCTTAATAGTAGTAGGGGAACTGGAAGAATGTCTGCTTCACTAGTGATGAATGACAAGTTAATGATCCAGTGGGCAGATGAGCTAAAATATTTGTTTTCGGATTTGGTATTTGCTCGAGGCAACTTTGTACTATAAAGTTAGTAATAGGAAAAACTAAGGTACATGGCACAATTTTGACTAAATTGATGAAATATAATTGTGATAATAGAGGCTTGGAGAGTGATAAGAGTTTTAGCATAAGACAGCTGGATATTGTGTTCTAGGCATAAGACTTGGCCAAGAATTATTGGCAGCAACATGAATATGGTACTGACCATTGGAGACAGTGTAGATGAAGTAAGCACAAAGCTAAGCTAACGAGATTTATGAGTGTCATAATGAATATGCTATTGAGCTGGCCAAAATGGAACAAAAGAAAATGATAATGTTTGTTGATCCCACAGTTGGCCAAATAATGTGGACAATAGTTAGAAGTTTAACAACTCAATAGCGGGTATGTTTCAAAAAAAAAAAAAAAAAAAAAAAAAGAAAGGTTTAACAACTCAATAGCGGCGTATGTTTCAAAAAAAAAAAAAAAAAAAAAAAAGGCTCAATGCGTGAGAGTAATTGCCTCCAAAAAAAAAAAAAAAAAAAAAAAAAAGGCTCAATGGTGAGAGTAATTGCCTCATAGTGCAAAAGAAGTTATTGGAAGGTCAAATTCGAGCTTTGATGATATAATTTTGCATTATCTGCATGAATATATCAAATATTTAATTATGGGAAATAATTTTTTTGATACTTAAGTTGTCCATTTCTTAACCATATCAGGAGAAGAGTATTATCAGTGAAGAGGTCTGAAATTGTTGGCTTATGCTTGATTTTAATTATTTGTGTATTCAGGAGCCTTTTGTAAACATCCCTGAGGACACAATTCGTGAAGCACTAAAAGTTGTCATTGGTAATATAAGTGCATCAGATTGTGTTACTTTATTTTCTAGCTCAAATAAATTATTTTTACAAGTAATCACATCTACTCCTCCATAATTCTCTTTCTTGTAGATGTGAGGAATCACCCTGTTTTGATACACTGCAAACGAGGGAAGGTATGTTTTAGATTAGTAGAGTTCGCATTCCCAATCCTAAATTCAACACCTTCTAAATTATACGTCATTACTTGCTTTCTTTTCTCCAGCATCGAACTGGTTGTGTTGTGGGCTGCTTGAGAAAATTGCAAAGGTGGTGTCTTTCATCCATCTTTGATGAGTACCAGCGATTTGCAGCTGCCAAGGCTAGAGTTGCCGATCAAAGGTTCATGGAGCTATTTGATGTTTCTTCCTTAAAGCATATCCCTCTGACATTTTCATGCTCGAAAAGGTAAACAACTACTTGGACTAAATGGATTTTGGTTTTCATATTTGTTAGGCAAACGGAATCCTAGCCACATCCTGCTTTGCAATAAATAGGAAAAAGAATAATTCTTTTTTTTTTTCCTTGTCCGGTAAAAGGGGAGTATATAAATTGGCTTGTTCTACACATGCTACAACTAATGTTGTAGATCGCTCCTGATTCTTCTGATTGTAAGGTGTATCAAGGTTTAACATGACACTCGATTCAAAATTGCTGCTCTAGCCAATGATTGTAAGGAGAGGCATTGCAGCTGGAAAGGCTTTGGGTACTCGTGAATCTTGTATTGCAGTTGATAGGAGGGAAAGAGAAAGAAAACTTGGTCTGTATTGTGTATTTTGATAAATAATATTAAAATACTATTAAAAAAAAAAAAAAAAAAAAACACCAGTGGAAGAAAAAAAAAAAAAAAAAAAAAAACCAGTGAAGAACAATGGTGCTTACCGCTTAATGATAAAGTCTTAAAATAACGAAACAAGTTACTGGACATGAGTCATTTTCTGAAACTTACGGATACTTATTAGGATAGGTCCTATGCTATTATAAAGTAATTGATTATCTTGAAATAGAATGCTGTGTATCATCGATCCAGGAATCAATCAATTCCATATAGAGATGAATTGAAATTCATACATCTGAATCTTAGTAATCTTTTCATGTCTTTTTAATCGAAGTCAGGATCAAAAAGATAATTTTGAGATCATTCAAAATTAAAATCATATCTGAATAAATCTCCATTCTTTTTGAGATTAAAAGACTCGCACATTCTATAAACCCTAATCCATTATCTAACCTCCAGTCATGTTAAGCTCATCAAAAAGAGTACTTTATATTAATTCAACTATGAAGCAAAGAAAACCACATTGAACTGTATATAGTACTAAAAAACTTTAGGTTAAATTTGTGAAATCACGGAACAGAAATGAAAATAGAAAACCCAAAGGAAAACATATCATAGATACTAATAAATAGGAAAATCCTTTTTAAATGAAAATAGAAAATTCTTTTTTCCAAATTTGTTAAATTTGGAAAAAAGAATATTGCACTTTATCATTTAAAATTATAAAATACAGTTTGAGACTTTTTTTTTTTAAATCCTCATTTGTAGGGCATTAACTTTTCTTGATTTCAATATGGAAGCAAAACAGAAATCCGTTGTACTGGTCTAGCCATATTAGTCTTATGATCCAACTGATTGGCGCTGAGTTATGAAAACAAAGTGTTTCGAGAAGAAGCTGCTATTTCAATCTTATTCTTATTTTCGGAAAAAAGAAATTATTTTTGTTAAAAGATTCAATTCATTGGAAAATTAATCTCGGATCCTCCAATATAAGAACTGAACTTCTATGTTGGGAAAAACAGTATGACAAGGAGCCATAACTCTTAATTTCACTTAGTTTCACAAAACAAAGAGAGATGGGATCTTAGCTGCGAGTCGGTTCCTCCCATGGTAGCTATTCTAAAAGGAGTAGGAATAGTGAAGGCGACATATCAACAGATCAACAAGTAAAATGTATGTGATCACACTTGCATGTCAAGATAAAGGAAGCCAAAAAATAAAATATAAGTTTCTACTCTTTTTCTATCTTGGATGATCATTCTTTAGCAATCCATTCAATATGTAGAACATCAGAATACAATAAAAAAGGATTCAAGAACAAGTATTTCATTCTAGATTACATTTACAAATTCAAGAAAATGCAAAAAGTAAATTCACAATATTGAGAATACTGTAAAAATTGTGGCCATCAAGTATTGTCAATTTTTACATTTTTTTTTATCCAAGTAGGAAAGGCAAATGAAAAACTGAAACTACCATCTTAAGCAAATCAACACCAACAAATAACCTAAACAATTGTACAAACTGCAGTAAGATATTCAAAGAACCATACAAGAAACCTTTGGTTGCATAAAATACAATTTTGCGCACTCAAACATAGAACAATTGAAAAACATTTTCAGAGGCAAATTATTTCCATAAAAAAAATGCTGTCTTAGGCTGTGTTTGAAAAGAAAAATTAAATAGAAAAGTAATGAATAATTTTCAGTAAAATTGTATGTACTTGTACAATATTACAACAAATTTATGGGCTCTTTGTAACAAATTATAAGCAAATGCATACGAAATATCAAGCTGTGGCTATGAACAAATATGACAGCAATCTCGCAACAGTAATCCAAAGATTTAAAAGTGATAATGAAGCAAATAATCCTCTGCTGGTGATGCTATCGGAAGGTGAATACAGCTCTGGTAATTACCGTTCAGTAATTACCAATTATCAATACTAACAATATTCGACAATATCTTTTTAAGTAACTTAGTCAAAACGCTAAACACTATTTTTTATAGTGTTCGGTAATATAGCATTTGAATCAGTTTTTAGAGGTTAATGTAGGGGCGTTTATTGGATTAGGATTGCGTTAAATTTTAAAAGAATTGTTGAGTTTGGTAGAATTGAAAGATTTTCTAAGATTTCCACAGATGCTACTAGAGTTCTACGTAGAGTTTTATGAAATTAGTGAGACTTTTTTTTTTTTTAGATTTTGATTAACTTTGTAAGATTTCCACAGATGCTACTTAGAGTTACTACGCTTAGAGTTTTATGGAAATAGTGAGACTTTTTTTTTTTTTTAGAGTTGATTAAGCTTTGATGGGAATTACAATGAATTTGTATAGCCAATCAAAAATTAATTTCAAAACCTAATTGAAACAAATTAAAAAGGTTTTGCGAGCCTAATGAAAAATTGAAAAACCAATTGAACAAATTAAAAGGTTTTGGAGCCTAATGAAAAATTGAAAAACAATGAGGGACAAAAATCAAAATGCGTCATCTTTTCTGAAACAATTTTTTCTTCGCTAAAACCTTTAACGTTGCTGACAGTGAAAGGTCTACAATGGTCAGCGTCATCGGCGGCCATCCGGCGCTCCCAAAACAATTGTGATGTGGTCGAAAGACCATAAGTATCTCATCCTTTGATTGAATGGTGACCGTTTCATCGGAAAATTGCAGGTTATATATATTCATTTATTTAAAATCGAAACTAGCAGCCACCGCTAGCCAGGACCTGTGTTGGCTGCCGAAACTCGCAGAAGGACGCAGCGCACGGCTGGGTTGCGGGTCACGGAGCTTGGCGGTCCGGCCACAATAATGGTAGACTTTATTCTTCAGTTCTTCGACTATTTCAAAGCTTTTTCAATTTTTTTTAGTGGATTAAATCATTATTAACTGAAAGCAAAAATTCCAGAAAATAATCAAATTAATTTTGAAAAATTTGCAGCAGTATTAATATTAATTTTTGTCAAAATATCAAATTTTCAGTAGATGAATTAATTCAAAATTAATCCAATAATTAATACATTATTTTACACCTTAATGAGTAGGGATGAAAGCGGTAAGGGTTCTTTAGGCTACCCGCTCCCTTCCGATCAGTTTAAAGAGGACATGGGTAGTTATACATGGGTTTGGAATGGATATGGATAGTGTAATTACTACCCGTAATGGATATAGATAGTGAAATTATTACCCGTAACGAATACAGGTAGGGTATGAGTATAGATCTTTGGATATTTGCTACTTGTTAACCGCTATATTAAAAGGGTTTGGTAGTGGGTACTCTATCCATTATTAAAAAAAAATGTATTTTAAATAAGTTCGAATTTGGATAGTTAAAGATTCGCAGGTACTCTACCCGTTTAAGAGGTACTTTCAATAGGTTTTGGACGGATACTGGTTGAAATTTAAACGGGTTTGAATACATGTACTTAAATAAGTATTTAAACAAGTTTAGAACGGTTACGAATAGTAAAATTTCAAACGAATACCTATACAAGTAGTTTAAAATTCGCAGGTACCCATCTCGCTTTCTTTCTATTGGGGGTGTATTGAATTAAAGCTCTATTAGATTTTAAAAATTTTTTGAAATCTTTGGGTTGGATGATGGATTTGTGAATAACTCTTTTATTCATATCTGACACCCTAAAATCCAATGAATCAATAATTTTATAGAACCTTTCCAAATCAGGAATTTTTTAAATACCATAACATTTGTATTGACTTTTAAGAAGTCATAATTGAATACCATCAGATTTGTTTATAAATTTTATAAGAGTCTGAATTAAATACCAATAAATTTTAATAGACTTCAAAAAAATCGAGATTGAATACCATTGAAATTTTAAAATCTTTTAAAATCTAACAGTGTCTTAATCTAATACACCCCATAGTGTTTTATAAAAAGCTAAATCATATAAGGTTTCATGAAAAGTTACTAAGGTCGTGTTTGACAACATCATTTTAAGTAGCTTTGGTCAGAACACTATACAATATTTTTTATAGTGTTCGACAACATAGCATTTGAACTAGTTTTTAAATGTTAATGAAACGTTTTATAATAAATCATGTAACATATAACTTTCAACTTTTTTATGAAAAGCTACTAAAATAGCTAACAGTTACATTTTACTAAAATAATTAATAGCTATTTTTGCTGAACGAATTTTAAAATAGCTAACACAGCTAATAATCATCAAAATAGTTAATTTTATCGAACAGACCCTTATACTTAGATGACCTAATGAAAAGATGATGTTTAAATTCATGTTGATGCATTTTTGCACATAAATTAAGGCTAAAATGATATTACAGATACTTTGGGCTTTTCAAAAAGTCCAAATTTACAGTAGTAATTTTTGTAATGTGGACACGTAACTGAATTCATTTATATATTGAGTGTATTTTTCAAACCAAAAACAATTATTGTTTTGAGATTCATGAAGAAAAATCATTAATTGCGCAGTCCTACATGCCACTATACAAAAACATGTGGTTTAGATTTTGTTTGATAGCGTTTCTATTTTTATTTTTCAAGTATTGGATGAGAGTTTTTTTTTTTTTTTTTTTTTTTTCGTTTCTATTTTTATTTTTTCAAGTATTGGATTGAGGCAGTTTTTTTTTTTTTTTTTTTTTAATAGATAGTATGCATGAGAGTTGATTAAACGATTTTTAGAATATTAAAATATAAATAAAATTTAGTTTTTAAAATTAAATGGAATATTTAGATTAAACTTTTAGATAGAAGTGGACAAAAGGTACAAGTAAATAAAAACTGAATCTTTATCCAAAGATTAAAATACCGATATTATTCGATAAGAAATTTAGTCGATAATGATAAAATTTTTGAGCAATAATATAAACAACAGTTGGTACATAAGGCAATAATTAAAAATCCGAATTCTAAAATTTGTTATTGATTTCTTCGGAGTACGGATGTGGTTCAATGAAATTACTGTATTTTTTTAGATTAGTGAAAAAGAGTACAAAAGAAAAGGTATTATGTTTATAGTCTCATACTTTTCCCAATTTTTTTTTTTTTTTTTTTTTTTTT